CCTTTTGCCTTCAGAACTGCCTTAATCCTTCGTGGCAGAGATTCAACAAGACTCTGGAAATATTCCTCATAGATTTTGCTCCATGTTGACATGATATCATCCATGATGTGAGTCACCTGTTCCACCACATCCCAAAGGTGCTCTATTGGATTGAGAACTGAACCATTTATACAACCCAGTAGATCAGCAGTTTCTGAAATACTCAGAGCAGCAACAATCATGCCACGTTCAAAGTCACTTAAATCCCCTTTCTTCCTCGTTCTGATGCTCAGTTTGAACTGCAGCAGATCGTCTTGATCATGTCTACATGCCTAAATGCATTGAGTTGCTGCCATGATTGGCTGATTAGAAATTTGCATTGAGCAGTTGGACAGGTGTACCTAATAAAGTGGCCAGTGAGTATGTATGTATGTATGCATCTGTAAAGCTGCGTTCACACCAGACGTGGAACGCACGTCAAGCGTGAGGGATTTACATGTTAAGTCAATGCAAACGCGCGAATAGACATCCTGCGGCGCGATAGGCGCGAATGACGCAAATTGCGCGAATGAATGCGCGGTGTGAATAGCGTGATACGCGCGAATGGATCAGGGCGAATTGAGCGTTTTGTGCGTTTGACACGAGTTCGAAAAACTAAACTTCAGCGGACATTCGCGTCGCGTTAACCAATCAGAAGCTTGCTCTTGTGGGGGCGTGATTGTGACGTAGAACCTGTTGATGGTGTCCCTGGGGAAATCCTCCAGGCAACACCGACAACAAGTCATCAAACTGGGCTTAGCTCAGTCAGAAGCACCGCCAAGCACGTATCGACGCTGTTTTTCAGCCTTCATAAAGCACATAAACACTGTTATATTCTTCATGAAATCCATGTTAGCCATTTAGCAACGAAGCTACAATCACCGGGCAGACAGACGCCCTGCCCATCACGCGAATCCGCGTCTGTTCTGAAGTGAATTTGACACGCGAATGAAGCGGATTTCAAGCTCGAATCAAGCGAGGTTTGACGCGCGAATGAAGCGAGTAAACTCAAATGCTCACGCGGCTATCTACGCGCGAATAGTGCGATTTATCCGCGCGTTCCACGTCTGGTGTGAACACAGCATCAGAGTGTGTGTGTGTGTGTGTGTGTGTGTGTGTGTGTGTGTGTGTACCTTCAGGTCATTGATGTGCAGATACTCCTCAATGATAGCAGTGGATTTCTTCTCCAGCTCTTCCTCAGTGAGGGCAGGTTTAGAGGCAGCAGCAGGAGGAGGAGGCGTCGCCGCTACACTTTCTCTCTTTGCTGTAAAAAAATCAACACAAACATCCTGTCAAATAACCCGGTGCAGAACATGTGCACTAACACTAATATATTCTAGAGCATTACTATTCAGTACATCAAATATGCAAAACCCACCAAAGAACTTTGACCATTCATCAAGTGAGTGTGTGTGTGTGTGTGTTGTGTATGAGTGATGTATTAGTGTGTGTGTGCTTATGTCAGTTTGAGTGATGTATTAGAGCGTCATGTATAAGTGTGCGAGTTGTGTATGAGTGTATGTGCATGCGTAGTGTATGAGTGTGTGTGCGTGTTGTGTGCGTGTGTACGTATTTAAGTGATGTATGAATGTGATTGTGTGTTGTGTGTATGAGTGATGCATGAGAGAATGTGTGTGTGTGTTTGATGTATTAGTGTGTGCGCATGTTGGTTTAGGTGATCTATTAGAGCTTGTCATGAATGAGTGTGTGTGTCGTGTATGAGTGTGTGTTTGAGTGATGTATGAGTGCAAGTGTGTGCTGAGTGTGTGTTGTGTATTAATGTGTATAAGTTTGAGTAAGGTGTGTGTAAGTGATGTATGAGAGAGGGTGTGTGTTTAAGTGATGCATGAGTGTGTGTGTGTTTGGCTGATGTATAAAAGTGTGTTATGTGTGTGTTTGAGTGATGCATTAATGTGTGCGTGTGTTAGTGAGTGCATGT